ACTGCCCCTGGGTTTCAGTTGTGGTTTTATTTCCACCTCTACGTGTGGATCGTTCCTTGGGGTTTGCTCCTGAGGCTGCCCTGGAGGACTTGGGTTTGCCCCTATGAGGGCCAGGTGTGGAGGTGGGGCCGCTGCTTGGGTCACAGGGGTTCTGGCAGCACCAGGTGCTCAGGGGGGTTGGCGGCTAGGGCAGCGGGAAATAGAGTGCTCTAGAAGGGTATGGCAGTGATTATTGGCCAATACATGCCAGTATTCTTGCCTGGAGAACCCTCTTCCTTGACAGAGAAGCCTGGCAGGCACAGTCTACAGGGTTACAAAGAGTTGGGCACGACCAGAGCAACCCTGCATGCATAGGCGCAAGACTTTTTTTGCCTGTGGCAGCTCTGCCCCAGGGAGAGTTGAGCGTGAAGGCGGAGCAGCTGCTTGGCTTGTGGGGACCCTGGCAGCGCCAAGTGTGCAGGGACACAACTGCCTCCGCCATAGGAGTCATGGCCCTGTCAGAGTCTTTTCTTGAGCCTCTTGTAGTGGGCGATCAGAAGGCCTCTCTGACCCGTCTTTCTCTGTAACTCCTCTCGTTCAGGCACTTAGAGGGTTCCCTTGCCGGGGTCCTTCTCTGTTGTTTGGCGCGTCAGGCACATGGAGGGGCACCCTGACTGGGGTCCTACTCTGCAGTTCAGCATGTCAGGGGTTGGATGGGCCAGGCTCTCTACTGTTCAGTCAGCAGCAGCCCTCGCTGTGGGATTGCTCCACAGTCCCTAAACTCCAGCTTCCAACTGCTGCGCCTTCCAGAGGACCAGCGTTTCTGTCCGGGGTATGTATGGCTGTGGCAAGCATGTCTGATTCTCATTCTATTTAGGCTGCCGCAGATCAGCTGTTTCACTCTCAGCCTTAAATGTTTCTCCGCTGTGTCAGACAACTGCCCCGGTGTGGGGATCGGACCCCTGCTTCAGTTCCCCTACCCACAAAGGGCAAGTCCAGTCCTACTAACACTCCTGTTTTTCCCCCTAGTTCCTTCATCCTACCGAGTTTTGCCTGGTTCTATATATTCTTTTCTGCTGGTCAGGTCCTCCTGGCGACTCTCAGCTGCTGTTCTGCATGCACTTCTGTGTCTGAAGGTGCATTCCTGATGGATCTGTGGAGAGAGATGTACTCCATGTTCACCTACTCCTCCGTCCTCTTGTTCTCCTTCCTCAGAGCCTTCTTTGAGCCTGGAGCTCATCACCGTGGCGCAGGGAGCTCTGCAGACAGCTGTGTGATTCTGTCTCTTCCTCTAGTGGGGCTTTGCCCACCACCCTCCAGGATTCAGAGCAGGGCACGAGCTAGCTGCCTCTGCAGCTCTGCTAGCTCAGAGCTAGCTCTGCAGCTCTCCTTCCTCATGCCAGCCGCCCTGCGTGAGCTCTGAGTGTGTGACTTCCTCACCCTGGGCTGTCAGTCGCTCCTCTCTCCGGTAGCGTGGCAGCTACTGGATCTGAGCTTACGTTCATTGGCAATTGGAGGACAGGGCACAAATGTCTTCCCTGGATGGTAGCACTTAAATCAACAGAGTTCCCCGTGTGTGTTAAGTAAACACACTTAAATAACACAAATAAATGTCACTGTAAAAGTAACCAATGATAAAACATCGTGATGGGATCGAAGAAGCTGATGCCTTAGAAATGAGAAAATATATTTACAATGACTCAACAAAACAGAGAAACCTCCCCAGTAGTCCCCAGTCCTTTGATCTCTCAGTCTCTTTGTGGCTAGCTAGAAAGTGGATGGAGTAATTAGAATATGCTAGAGTCACCTTGGGACCTACCTGCTGTCCTTCCTCTAAGGAATAGAAGCCCAGAAGAATCTCACTTGGTTACCCCACGGGAAGGGTGTTGAAAACAGCTAAACATCTAAACTGAAGAGCATGTAAGGCAGTGTGTGTATGGTGATTTATAACAGTTTCATGGGCACATTCTTATTTCTAGACATGAGGGTTACACCGATTTACTGACACACAGAAGTTCATGGAAGGTCTTAACGCACTAATGTTTCTTGTTGGACTGTTCAGTAGCCAGAATTACTAATGGGGCTCAGAAGCTGCCTGCAAAAGGCAGAATTTTGTTCAACACAGAACCAACTCTGAGATTCTTGATTTTTAGCATTAAGGAAGGCTAATTATGTTTCCAGAGTTGTGCCTAAGGTAGCATCCTAAATGTACTAATATTTTTTTATTCGTCAGTATTTTAAATGATAAACTGTGTTCATGTAAATAGTGGTATAACATGATTTCCTGGTACTTGTCCTTAATCACCATTAATAGTTTCTTATATATCCTTCTAGAAATTTTCCATGCTGATAAAAGCACACACACAAAAATACACATACATGCTTCAACAAAGAACTTGTATATAAACACATATATATGATCTACTAATAGAATCATAAATAAGAGCGTAATATACATTCTGCTCTGCTTTTTTTTTTAACAATTGTCTGTTGGACATTTTCACACACCAGTACAACTGATTTGCTCTATGAAAAAAATTAGTTTCATATTACTCCAATATTTATTTATTTATATTATGCTTTAATCAGAGTCTTACCAATGGACATTTATGTTACTTATATGTATTTTTAAAAATAGAAAAAAAAATAAGTATTACTTTAAAAAAATAGGTATTAGAAATTTCCTGGAGGTCACGTGGTTAGCACTTCACACTTTCTCTGCTCAGGATGTGGGTTCAGTTCCTGGACAGGGAACTAAGATCCTGCAAGCTGTGTGGTGTGGCCAAAAAAAAAAAAAAAAAGAGAACAAAAAAGTAGATATTACATAATTGGCCTCTAATATGTTGTACCAGTTTACTCTTCTACCAATGACCTATGTGTGCGGCTATTTCTCTGCATGTCTGTTGTTGCTGAGGATCATCAAAACTTTTCTAAACAGATTTAAAATTTTCTCTCAGTCTTTTGCAGTAGAAACGTATATACAGTGGAAATGCATGAAGTCAGCACATTTACCAGAATAAACAAGGTGTAGAGTCCTAGGTCAGTGTAAGAGTAAGGTACTGGGGGTTTGCTGATTTCTTTCTCTGGTTTATTTAAGATCTGGGGCTTTGAAAGCATTTTCTCATACAGTGCTACAAATGGTGAGTGCCTTCACAGGTGAGACAGGGATGTTACACTATAGGCAGTACTAGGCCTCTAATTCAAGCTTCCAGGGTACTTATAGTTGACGTCTTGAACATATAAAGCTGTACTGGTAATTGGAGACTCTGAATCACTGTTTAACCGTGTTTTGCTGTGTTTAAAATATGTCTAGACATTGACTTTGGGCAGCCAGAAACACCTCCCCCTCTGCTGTAGTGATGTGGGGCACACCCGTCTCACCTCTCTTACTTTCTCACACTGGGAGACAAGTCTTCCCCAGAGTTTTGAATTTCTATACTCCCCTTGACTGAAGGTACAACAGGCCAAGAAACACAGACTGTTCAATGCGAGACGGGGAAGAGGAGTGGAGGAGGTAGGTACAGATGCCCCTTGGCTATGGAGAAAAGGCAGAGGGTTTCAGTTCCCCTGTTGGAGGCAAAGGTGGCACAGAGCCCCAGGAACAGGCTTAAAATAGTGATCCTGGCAGAGCACACCAGACTTCTGAGATTGATCAGAATGACTTCCAGCTTGTGAGGTCGCCAGTATGTTTTTTTTCAGTCAGGAACTGGAATAGCAAGGAAAGGAAAGGAAAGGCATTTTTCCAGTTTCTTGATATACTTCCTATGAACCAGTGTTTCTTCAGACTACTTCGGTAGGAAGCAGAGTTCTCTCCTACGTTAAGGGGAAGGAACCTTTTTCCTGGAAATACCTCTGCCATATTTCACCAGAAATACCTCTGCCGTCTTTCACCAGAAATACCTCTGCCGTCTTTCACCAGAAATACCTCATAGCCTCATTGGTTATATTTCATAAGGCTCTGATGGAGTTCTGTGTTCTCAGAAGGAAGGGAGAAGGAAACACAAGTCCACTCAGTGTTCTGGATTCTTGGGTGCAGAAAACAAAGTGTGTATACTCTCATCTCAATACACCCCACAGTATTTATTTCTGGCACTGAGAAACAGCATTCAGTGAGCCCAGAAGCACGTGGATTTTATACAGTTTTTAAAGAACCTTTATCTTAAACTGTCTATGAACTTTTAAAATTTTTTATCTATTTATTTATTTTGGGCTGCACTGGGTCTTTGTTGCTGCATGCGGACTTTGTTTAGTTGCAGCAAGTGGAAGCCATTCTCTAGTTGCAGTGCATGGGCATCTGATTGTGGTGGTTTCCCTTGTTGCACAGCACAGGCTCTAAGAAGATCTGAATTATTATAAACAATTATTCAAATAAATTATTTTGTATGTTTTTACCAATTGTTTTTAATATTTACTTAGAAAAAATTCCTAAGGGTAGGATTGTACCCAAAGGTAAGGAGTCCCAATATTAGGCTTGTGACCAATTAGTGGCAAAAATGCCTGGGTTCAAAGAACGGAAAAAAGGCATTGCTCATTATAATCATCAAAAAACATTTATTGAGCAGCAGATATATGACCATATTGGTCATTAAGACATGACTGTTGGCCTTACAATGAAGTCAAAACTTTTCTCTTCATGTGATTTTCAAATAAAATATACCAAGATATAATCTACCAAGAATTCAGTGTGAAGCTGCTATGATGAAAGACATAGAATGTTAATTCAAGAAGGGACTATAGTAATTTTATGGTATAAATAAATGAAAATAGGCAACATAATTCAAAAGCTTTTCTAGGTTTGTAATCATAGAAGTTTGAACAAATAGATAAATGAACCTGGTGCTGCAGCTACTAAGTCACTTCAGTCGTGTTTGACTCTTTGCGACCTGATGGACTGTGGCCCACCAGTCTCCTCTGCCCATGGGATTCTCCAGGCAAGAATACTGCAGTAGTTGTCATTTCCTTCTCCAAAATAAACCTAACTACTTAAAAAAAAAATTTTTTTTTGTCTTCTACAAAAACAGAAAAACACAGATTTATACAACACAAAACACTCCCTCCAGCCTGAGTTGGCTGATCAAGTTGATGACCACATCTGCCTCTAAACTGGAATTTGGTTGCTGATCCAGTAGTCCATCTAGAGGTGTCTCTGTGGGCTTCTCTCTGGTGAGTCTTGCTGGTTGGTTGTTCTCAAGACGTTTTGGCTAGCCTGCCAGTCTCAGGATAGCTGTGGTGCCGGGAGGCACATGTGATCTCAAAGGTTAATCATGGTAATCATGGCGATATTGGCTACACTGTTGGTAAGGTACACATTGAAGTGTCTCTGGGCCAACTGTCCCTTCCTTAAGTAGTCTTGCAACTTGGGAGACTGCATGCCTCTCATGACATTATCAGAGAGAAGAAATTTCCCTCTACCCTTCTAGTTTTTTCTGGCTGGTCTAAAAATTGACATGAGATGGATTAACGGAAGAAAGCCAAACAAAAGTTTAATCACATGTATACCTGGAGGGGATCCAGGTAAACTGAGTAACTTGCTGTGTGTGTGTCTGTTCAGTTGTGTCCCACTCTTTGCAACCCCATGGACTGTATAGCCCACCAGGCTGCCTGGTCCAGGGGATTTTCGTGACCCAAGGATCAAACCTGCATCTCTTGCGTCTTCTGCTTTGGCAGGCAAATTCATTACCACTGCGCCACCTGGGAAGCCCTGAGTAACTTGCTAAAATGGCTGAAACCTTTACCTTAAATATCTTTAGCTAAAGATAAAAGAGGATGTTTGGAGTAGTGGTTTGGGACTTTCAAAGGGTAAGAAGGCAAAGCACATGGATATGGAAGAGCAAATGTTTGGTAGATAAATGTTTGCTGGGCCATGAGGAGACAGTGCGACATAGAGAGGACTTAACAGACTTTGTTAGGCTTCTCCCTGTCTAACCACACCTAATTTATACTATCTTTATCTATGATAACAGCCCCTGTTAGAAGAGATCCTCTGCCTACATTCTTTTAGTCAGTTAGGGGGAAGGTCAAAGTTTCTTTCTGAGTGTTTTGGGCCTTGATTGTTTTTGGCTCAAAATAATGTGCCTGCCAGAAGGATATTTTCAGGTGGCAAATTTTGCTCCATTACAACATGAAGGTTGGGCTTCTTGTTTGCCACCTAGAGTTCTTTGACCTGTTGATATCCTTCTTGGCCATCATCTTTCTTGGTAATCCAGTTTTTCTTGGGCATCAACATCATCTGTACCTAGGACTGGAAAGTCAGGATAAGCTATTAAATATACTGCTTTATAATAATTCAGACTGTCTGCATCTTAGGACCAGAAGAAACTACTGAGGGACAATCCATTCCCTTTGTGTTCTGCGTATGTGGCTATTCTGAGGGACACGTACATGGACATTTAATTTCTCAGAAAGGCTGAGTTGCTTGGGAGGGAGAAGTCCTTTCTCCTTTATAGCACTAAAGAAGAATAATAACGGTGGCAGTCTGGTGGCCTAGTGGTTAGGGTTCTGGGCTTTCACTGCTGTGGCCCAGGTTCAGTCCCTGGTTGGGGAGCTGAGATCCTGCAAAACTCAGTGTGACCAAAATAATAGTAATGATAACAATGATGTATTTTAAAGCTTTATTTCATATATACTTATCCCTAAAAAGGGCTTCCCTGGTGGCTCAGATGATAAAGAATCTGCCTGCAATGCTGGAGACCAAGGTTCGATCCCTGGGTTGGGAAGATCCCCTGGAGAAGGGCATGACAACCCACTCCAGTATTCTTGCCTGGAGAATCCCATGGACAGAGGAGCATGGTGGGCTATAGTCCATGGGGCTGTGAAGAGTTGGACATGACTGAGCGACTAACACTTTGACTTTATCCCTAAAAATGAAAAGGGCAGAAAGTGCAGATTCTCACAAATTGTTGCAACTTCCGAAGGTGGTGGGATTTTTTAGTCTGCCAGATAAAACAGAACTTTATAGCAAGGCTTTCAGACCAACAGGCTAAATCACTGACCTGTTTTAAAAAAAAAAGAGCACACAATGCTTAATTTTCCTGAAAACTTTGGAAACTTGATGAAGAATGTGACTCCATTTGAAAGGCAAAATATAGATCCACCTCATTGCATTTTATGTTTTTTGGGACTAGAACCTGGAGTTCTAAGTTTCTTGGTTGCAAAAGGAATATCCCATCCTGTAGTCTCAAATATTTGGGCCCAGAACATGTGGTCTAATGCCGTTTCTCTAGTCAGGATAGACCTCCACCCCACCCCCAGTCAGTACTTCACATCCATGTGCGTGGGTGTCGCTAAGTTACTTCAATCGGGTCCGACTCTGTTTGTCACTATGAGCTGTAGCCCACCAGGCTCCTCTGTCCATGGGATTCTCCAGGAAAGAATGTTGGAGTGGGTTGCCATGCCCTCCTCCCGGGGATCTTCCCAACCCAGGGATTGAACTTGCATCTCTTATGTCTCCTGAATTGGCAGGTGGATTCTTTACCACTAGCATCACCTGGGAAGCCCCCCTTCTTGTCCATATTAGGCTACATCATGCCCAGACCACCATTATACTGTGTTCTGTTTAGGAGAGCTGCATGTAGCCAAGAATCTAGCTTTTTATTCTTTACAGAATGGTGCCTTAGATCTGTATGAGATTTGGAGGGGAATAAAATAGCAAATGACTTTCATTCTTAACCTCAAATGAGTGACTTAAGGAAAAAACATTCCTGCTTTCAGAGGACCAAGATGAGGTGGCAAACAGAACCCTAGATGATCAAGTTTTAGAGATCAGTTTAATATATATAACTTTACTATTAAAAATACCAAAAAGTCACTGATATAAACAGAATTTTCTCCTGAACTCTCCACACTTACAACTCCTCATCTTATAGGAAAAAACCATCAGGAAGAATTTATGCACCCTCTAAGCTGAGTGTCCCCAGCACACAGTGGGCACCCAGGGGATGCCTGCTGGGATGTCAGTCCAACACTGACATCTGGTTAGATGAGTTTGATAATTCTGATACATGCTTAGGCTGAATCAGGCTGTGATTCAATCTATTTGTTGTCATCTGATCTTCTGTCAGAAATTCCTTCCCAGGTAGGATTTACAGAAGATACAACCCCTCCTCTTGATCTCTCTCAGCTCCATAGGTGAGAGATTAACAAACTCAGGAGGAAGTGGACAGGACAGGTGGCCCAGTCTTGCTAATTAAAGGAACTTTGGTCACCTGCCAGGGTGGACAAAGCAAACCAGCACACATTTTCCCATTTCTTCATAGTCTATTAGGTAACATATAATAAATACTCCTCAAGTGAAAGAATTTAAAGTCTCAAGCCTAGGGAATTCCCTGGTGGTCCAGTGGTTAGAACTCTGTGCTTTCACTGCCTAGGGCACAGGTTCTGTCTCTGGTTGGGGAACTAAGATCCGCAGGCCACATGGCCTGGCTAAAATAAAATAAAGTCACATGCCCGGAGTCGTCTTGTTTAGCCATTCTCTCCCATGTTGACCTTGTGTCACCAAAAATGTCTTCTATGGATATCCGTGTCATTAGATCCCTTTACTGCTGTCTGTTATGTGTAAACACAAATTTTCATTTGCATCATAGTCAGTCTCCAGACAGTTAACTCTTGAAATTATGGCTAAAAGTTTTCTTTGTTAATTGCTTTTGATTATACTACAATAGAGCTAACAGGGGAGAGGAGCAAATTTGCTTAGGGGAAATACTATAATACTATTTGGCACACACTTATTAAACCAGTTGAACTTGATTTTGCTGTATCGGGTCTTTGTTGCTGCTCACGAGCTTTCTCTAACTGCAGACTTCTCACTGCGGTGGCTTCTCTTGTTGAGGAGCGCAGGCTCCAAAGGGATGGCTCAGTAGTTGTGGCACATGGGCTTAGTTGTTCCGCGGCATGTGGGATCTTCCCAGACCAGAGATCTGTGTCACCTCCATGGGTAGCGGTTTTTTTAACCACTGGGCCTCTAGAGAAGTCTGTAACTTTACCGTATTTTTGATTGGCCAAGGGTGGGTAAGAGACTTTACATAACTGCTCTCTTAATTTCTTGAGTTAGACGAAGTCCTTGATTTTTTCTTAGCTCCTTAAATAGCCTGTGTTAATCTAGCTCTTTTGACTTTCTCCATGTACATTCATTCTATCTCCACTCAATAATTATTTGGGGCTTGTGTTTTGGATCCAGGTATTTAAGAAGAATGACTGAGAAGGAAATTAGGCCAGATTTATTCCACAAGGTGAGGTTGAAATAGGAGTTGGTCTTAAGCATAAAGCCAAAATGAAATCAAGCACATAAAAATATGCAAGGTGATTCTGAAGTTTGCTTCTAAATTAAATATAAATCTGTAGCAAGCTACATCATTTTTCTAAGTGAGCTCAGGGCCAGCTGGCAACCTCCATAGTTGTTTGCAATGTAGTATATCTACTTAAGGCCTTGAGTTCATCTGTCTTCCTAGTCAAGTTAGCCTGGCATTCCCCACCCCATCCTGAGTGCCACACAGCATGTGGAATGTGGGGTCTTCATTTCCTGACCAAGGATTGTAGAACTTGTGCCCCCTGCATTGAAAGCATGGAATCTTGCCCTCTGGACCACCAGGGAAGTCCTGAGGATCCTTTTCTTGAAACTCATGAAAATAGGACAACAGAGTCTGTTATCAGCCTCAGCAGTGGCAGTCATTCACTCTGTTTTTTGTTTTTGCATTAAAAAAAATTTTAAACCTTTGTTAGGAAGTTGATTTCATATTCTCTCCTGCTAGAGTAAGTCTGTATATCTAAGGATGCTAAAAGCCTTACTGCCAAGCCAGTCTTGAATATAGTCTAAACTGGGAAAGGAGCCTTCTTTGGGGTGGTGGCCAAGAAGCTCGTCAGTTGTAGATGTAGCTTAAAAGGCCATTGGCTCACTTACAAGAATGCTGGCAGCCTCAACATTTACTGCAAGTTCTTCTCACTAGTTCATTGTTTTTGAATTTCTTTCCCACTGGGAAACCCAAGAACGTCTCTTGCCTTAGTGTACCATTCTCAGCTGATCTCTTCCCCTGAGACGTTAGGAATGGCGCACTGCAACATCCCTGGTGAGTCACAACCCAGAGGCAGGAAGCCATGCAGGTTCTTCTCAATGTCGCCACTACCCTGTCTCTGTGTGACTCAGCCTGCACTCATAAAAGGTCATAAAC